TTCGTCACCCCTTCCAGACTATAGATCAGTTTGAATATGACGGCTGCGACAATTGTGATACCTATCTACAGATGAAGGGCAACCGGGAAATGGTGTATGACTGCACCAGCTCTTCCTTTGATGGGTAAGCCCCGTTAGTCCCCCTCCTGTCCCCAGCAAGCAAAGGCGGGCAGGCTTTGGAGACCTAGTGACTCGTTTGGCGATTCCCACTAGTCCTAACTGCCCGAGTACAGTGGCCACATACGCTCAGGGTAAACGGCCTGAATGTGAAAGAATGAAGGTGGCTCTTTTTAAAAATTTTATTCTTAAACTGGGACCTAATAATTGTATGTTGAAATGGTAAATTTTAGATTTCTTGGGTTCAAGAACTCATTATTGATCTTGAATTGAAACGTGGCTACTGGAGAATTTGAAACTGCAGTTTTCATTGGGCATTAATTACTTCACTGGGCCCTCGGCTCCGGATGGTGGGGACAGGCTTGTTTTGTGCACCTGGCTCAGCATAGGGCCTGAAAGATGGTGGAGACTTACATGTTGGTTGTCTGCATGAAGATTCTTCATAAGGCACAGCAGTGGTGGTAGGTGTTTCTCTGAAGGAGGAGGCTTTCTGGCGGCCCCCATAACAACAACAACAACAACAAAAAAACCAAATTATCATTTGCAAGATTATTCAGTGGGGGAAAAAAACAGAGAGAAATATAATGGTCCAATCCCCCTCTCCTAGGCAAGGAACCAGAAGGCAGTATTTGGGCAGGACAGGTGGAGTGCACTATTCAGTTTGTTTTACCTTTTAGGTCCTATGAAGCTTTCTTCATTGTTAGCATTGAATAGCATAGTTTGTGTGTGTGTTTTCTTCCTGGAATTTCATTTAACAACATTTCTCACAATCTGCCCTCTGCTTGACCTGGACTGGCTTGGGAGCCAGTCAAAATGGAAGCTTCTTGAGGCTTGGAATGCCTCCGTCTTACTTACCAGTATAGCCAGTGACTCGCACATAGTAGTAATTAACAAATTATTATTAAGCTAAGTAAATAGTAGTAATAAATAATGACAGATGGATGGCTACATCTTATAGCCAGTTGTTTTATAGAACACGAAGAACCACACTTTCACAGCCCACTAGAGGTTGAGAACAACCTTTTTATTTACCAGGCAGGAAATTGGTACCTTCCCCCAAAGCAGCTGGGCCCTTTTCAGTCTTGCAGTGAGGAGCAGGCGATGTTAGAACCCAGGTGTTAATAGCAATTGGTACCTCATGTAGCAATTAGTACTAGCAGGCACTGTCTGTGCTAGATACTTAACTGACTGCCTTATTTAATCTTCATGAACCACCCTACCCCCAGCAGTTGTATTATGACTATCCCCATTTAGATAGTGAGGAAACTGCAGTACAAAGAAGTTGCAATTTGCTGAAGGTCACTTAGCCTGAAAGTAGTGAACAGTTGGTAGTGGCACCCAGGCAGCCTGATGCTGAAACCATAGGAAACCTTCACTCTGCAATGGCCGGCCCCCACCAATACTGAAAGGACTGTGTTGGCCTGAGAATTGTCAAGAGTTACACTTTTTACTTACCAGTAAAAGAGAAACAGTGTAAAGCTTTGCACAGCAGACTTCTAGAGTTGCCAAATCAGATGTTGAAAGAGGTCAGAAGAGGACTAGGGTCCTCTGCAAAAACGAGGTCCCATCTGAACCAGGATATTGGAGGAGGTTGAGGAAGAAGTAGAGGAAACATCCCAACCAAAGTAAATGGCTGGAGCAGGTACCTGTGGCTGTGAGGGCGGCCTGCCTACGTGCCTGCTTCAGATCTGCCTGCAGGCCAGCAGCCACTGTTAGCCCTACTTGCCACCCCTCTTGGGGGTGGGATGGGGTGAGGTGGGGTCATTTCCATTTTAAAGCACATGAGGGTAGGGAAAGAAGAGGGTACTGAGCACAATGATCAACATAAATCCCCTACCTCCACCCCAAGCAGGCGAACAACAGAGCTAGGAGGTGAAGGGAGATAATGGATCATGTAAGATATAAAAACAAGTATAACTTATCAAAGGGTCACAAAGTGGGGGAACGGGGGCAGGGGGAAGAAGGAGCTTATATCAAGGGCTTGAGTAGAAAGAAAATGTTTTGAAAACGATGGCAATATATGTACAAATGTGCTTGATCCAATTGATTGTGGATTATTATCAGAGCTGTGAGAGTCCCCAGTAAAATGATTTATTAAAAAGAAAGAAAGGATTGGTGCTTATTTAGCAGACACTGTCAGACTCTGAGCTGGTTGTTTTTGTTTATTACCTCAGCCTTTGCCTCTCACGCTGCTGATGAAATCCCGACAGGACTCGTGTGTGTGTGCACGTGCACGCGTGCTTCATGCTGCACAACTCATTAGAGGAAGAACTTTGCATCTGAGATTCAGTGATACGTGGCTCTCCTAGGCTTCCTCCTTCAGAACTGCTGGCTGCAGAGAGTAAAGAGGGCAGCTTCATTGGCCTCCCTCTTCCATAGCAGGGGGAGGCTCTGACTGACTCTCCGTTACCTTCTTCCCCTTAGTATCATCGCGATGATGAGTCCAGAGGACAGCTGGGTCTCCAAGTGGCAGCGAGTCAGTAAGTCTCTCCCTTTCCCCATGTCCCAGTCTAGTTGCCGTCCCTCGATCCAGTGGGGATTATTAACCCAGTGGGGTAAGGGTGGGAAAGACAAGGAAGCAGTGGCCTGGGCCTTTCCAAAAGAAGTGGACATGATCGCTCTGCTCTCAGCGGTGCAGCCCTCTTCCAGTTTTAGCTTAAACTTCAATATGCCTTCGGTCTTAACTCGCTCCAACTGCAATCTCCTTTCTTCATTTTCCCCCCCAGGTAACTTTAAGCCAGGTGTGTATGCTGTGTCAGTCACTGGTCGCCTGCCCCAAGGTAATAATCATAACAGCTGTTGTTTATTTACTGTACCAAGCAAGCACTACAGGAGCCCTTGGTGTGCATCAGTGCCAATCTGCATGTGCTACAAGGCTCTTCGTTTTATGGAGAGGGAAGTCAAGGCACAAAAAAACCCCAAACCTAACACTTTCAAGTCGATTCTGCCTCAGCGCAACTCAGAGTGCCCCTGCCTCGGTGTCTGAGGCTCTGCATCTTTATGGAAGCAAACTGCCTCATCTTTCTTCCTCACAGTAGCTTTATCCCTTCCAGTTAGTAGTCCAATGCTTAACGCACTGGGCCAGCAGGACACAGAGAGGGTCAATAATTGGTCAAGTTCTTCCAGCAAGGATCTGGAATTTGAACCCAGGCATTTTGACTTCAGAGTCTGTGCTTGTGACTACAGTGTGCCTGACATTTCGATGGTAACAAGCCAACTAAGGGGGACCATTGACAGTCGTCTAGAAGCTCACGTTTGTTTAATAGCTGCTCCCCCTGCCCCCCAACCTCCCCCCCCCCCCCCCCGCG